CTCATCCCTCTGCTTGCTGCTCTGCCTTCTTGTGCTCTCTCTCTATCTCTCTGTCAAATAAAAAAATAAAATCCTTTTTAAAAGACTATTAAAAAAACCCCTTGGCATTATCTTTAAAAACTGAAAATTTTTGGATTCTCTCATGATGCAGCCATTTCCATCCTGATTTTACAAGGGAAACTTTTCCATATGTTTTAAGATTTTATTTATTTGAGAGAGAGAGTGTGTGTTTAAATTTTACTTCTACCTTCTTAGGATCTCTGGATGGGCCTGAGAATTAAATTGACGTAAGTCAGATGAACAGGAGAGAAGCTTATAAATTTATTTAATTTGTTTCACCTGATACACAAGACTTCATAAGAAAACGAAGACGCAAAGAAGTAGGAAACCCAAGTGCTTATATGTTAAGTTGAACAAAGAGAGGCAATTGTTCAAAAGTAGCTAAAATAAATGGGGAGACTAAAGAAAGATAAAAGTTATCTTTAAAAAAAGATTTTATTTATTTATCTGAGTGAGAGAGGGAGTACAAGCGGAGGGAGTGATGCAGGGAGAGTCAGAAGCAAGCCTTCAGCTGAGCAGGGAGCCCAACTAGGGCTCAACCCCAGGACTCTTGAGATCATGACCTAAGCCAAAGGCAGAGGCTTAAACTACTGACCCACCCATTGCCCCAAAAGTTATCTTAACCAGGTCTGTTTATATGGATTTCTGTTTGTTTGTTTTGACTCCTCATGTCTGGTGATAACAATGTTTCTTTGCTCCCAGCATATTTTTGCCACATTTTTGTCACACTTTGTCACATTTGTCACTATCACTCATCCTTTTTCCCTCCCACTATCCCTCAATCTATATTTTTCTGAACCATTTAAGAGCTTCATACTTCATGTATCATATTTGTTTGAATTTTCTGAGAACAAGGATATTATCTTATACAACCAGAGGACAATTTCTAATGTCAGAGAATTTAACATCAGGTCAGTAGATTCATTTCGCCCGGATCACATTGCATTCATCATGTGAAGTCCATTGTATGTAATATGGTCCATCCCAGTAATGGGCCAATACCAGATTTTATCTAGTTAGGCAGAAGTATGACTTTTTACTGTCTTTATTTGGAGATTAAGTATGGTTTAAGGAGATGTATGTGGGTGCCAAGTTGACAAGAGGTGGAATATGATGGCTAGTTTTATGTATAAACTTAGCCAGTTATTGGATCAAACACTAATGTAGTGTTGCTGTGAAGATATTTTATAGATATGATCAACATCTACAAATGATTGGCTTTAAGCAAAGGATTTTATTTGGTAGTGGGTGGGCCTTATCCAATCAGTGAAAAGGTCTTATGAGTTTAAGTAAGAGTTCCCAGAGGAAGAATTCAGTGTCAAAACTGCAGCATTAGCTTTGTCTGGAGACTTTCCAGCCCACTAGTCTACCCTCTAATCTATGGATAGAGTAAAACTTGCCACGTCCCACAATCACATAAGTGAATTTCTTGAAATAGATCTCATATACATATTGTACCTATATATGTATATGTAATGCCCATATATACACCGTATAGTTATAACAGGTGTACATGTAAACATTTATAAAACATATATCTTACTGGTTGTCTGCAGAACTCTTGATATATCTTCATTCCTTGACTTGATTAATAACTTGTCACTATGATTCTCTCTCATCTTAGAAATATTATCTCAAGGGCATGTCTATACTCCCTGATTCCAGTTCTCAATCTATATGCATCCTCAAATCATCAAAAATGCATTTGATTCTCCCAGCTTCACAGTTATGGGGGAAAAAAAATCACCAATGGTGACTTCTAAGATTGCTTAATGTACCTCCGGGTGGACATTAGAACCCGTAATGTGAGTTTGTTGGTTTCTTGACATCAACCAGTTAACAAAGCCAGACTGGTCCAGGATTCATGCTCTGTCCATTTTCTTCTCCAGTCTACACCCATTACTCTGATGGTCTTACCTAGTATCATGATTTGGAATATCGGTGTAAGCTAGTAACTCCCAAATGTATGGGTAGTGTCCACACAAAAGGAACAAAGCTTTTTTAAAATCTTAAAGAGAAAGTTTTATTTAAGCTCAGGTTAGGACAGCTAACCGGTATACACAATCTTCACAAAGAAGAGAGTGCTCTGGGAAGGAACATTTGGTGCACTGTTATATTTTTGTTTTTACATAAAGAGTTACAAATCATCATGAACAAGCATTCCAGAAAGTTACAGACTTTCTCTTATGCTTTTAGTATATGACTTTAAAGTACGACTTTAATCTTATAGGAACCAAGGAGGGTTTTTTTTTTTTTCTCCCCTTTATCTTTATGTTTAGAATGCTCCTGTTTGGTTTTTGTTTTTGTTTTCCAACAAAGCAGATGAGCAATGTGTGCTTGGGGCAGAAATAGAGGCCATGGGACGCCTGGGTGGCTCAGTTGGTTAAGCAGCTGCCTTCGGCTCAGGTCATGATCCCAGCGTCCTGGGATCGAGTCCCACATCGGGGTCCTTGCTTGACGGGAGCCTGCTTCTCCCTCTGCCTCTGCCTGCCATTCTGTCTGCCTGTGCTCGCTCTCTCTCTCTCTCTCTCTCTCACAAATAAATAAAATCTTAAAAAAAAAAATTAAAAAAAAAAAAAGAAAAAAAAAGAAATAGAGGCCATGCTTTGATGTTTGCCAAGTCATTTTGACTTTGGTAAATGCTCAAGTATAGCTTCCCTGAGAGCCCCAAAACAGGGCCCACAAACACGGAAAGTTGAAATTTTTCCTTTATTTCATCAAATTTTCCTTTATTTTATCAGTCATCGGTAACACACGCCTTGTGGTCTCACAGACGTTTCGGACCGCTGATGCTCACAGCTGGAGTCCCGAGTCCCCCTCCAAGCTTCCTCCATGTGCTCCTCCCCACCTCACAGGATGGCAAATCCATTTCTTGGTGATCTGGGCCAATTACATGACTTCAGAATGTCATTCATCGCATGAAAAAGGCCCAGGAGAGTGTGCAGCTCTCTGCGGAGAGAAAGGGGACTTCCGGTGTCCTCCTTGGCAGGATTTTTACACTACTTTTTTGGGAGGATCCGGGAAAGGGGTACCAAAAGGGTAAGTCAGCAGGCCAGCCTCGAGTCGAGGGCGCGGTCTCTGCCCTTGCTTGCGTGCCCCCGCCCGACGAACGTCCCTGCTTCCCAAGACTCAACTTCCCCAGGCCTAGAACGAAGGCTCTCGCTCCTGCCCCTTGCCTGTCCTCTCGAACTGTAAACAGGCCGACAGTTTGCTCAGTTGCTCGCGCTTCTTTCCCTGGAAGGAACATCCTGCGAAGACCCGCCTCGCGCAGTAGGACACGGAGGAGGGAAAACCACAGTACCCAGAAGGCATCTGAGGCCGCGCTGGCCAATGACAGCCCCAGACGGGGCGTCTCCTGCGGTTTGCGTCCGGGGGCGGGACTTCCGGGTGTTTTCACTGCAGCCGCCATTAGCCCCTGCCGTTCGCTGCCGAGGGGCGTTGACTTGCTGAGGACCCGGCCGGCGCTAGAGCGGCTCCACGCCTGGAGAACGAGCCGGGAAGGAGGAGAGGACTCACCGCGTTTTGTACGGTCCGGGTCCTCTTTGGCGGGCGTGCCACCCCCCACCTCCGACCGCCCCCTGGGCCGCGGCCTCTGCAGCCGCCCTCATCCCCTCAGTCGCCAAGGGCAGCGCCCGCATCGCGGTGCCTTTTGCGCGGGGGACGCTGCGGTCCGGCCTCCCGCAGTGCGCCGAGGTCGCCAGAGCGCGCGGGGCAGAGGTGCGGCCAGCAGGCTGTCCCGGTGCTCGCCGCCTCAGCCTTGCTCGACCGGGGGGCCCCGTGATGGCGGCGGCGCCGACCGGCCAGGCGCAGGTCAGTGGACGTTGGTTTCGGGACTGCTGCTTCTCTCGAGGGGCGGGCGGGAGCCGCGGCGGCCGCCGGACGCGTGTCCACAGGGGTGTGTGTCGGCGTGCGCGGCTGGCGCGTGATCCCCGGGCTCTCAAGTGTGTGGTCTCTGACTTCCAGTGTGGGAGGAGTGAGGGATGCTTCCGTCGGGGACTCCCCTTGTTCTTCGAGTAAATTCCACCCCCCCTTGCCCTGGGTTGATGCACGCTTCCCACCTGCCCTCCAGCAGGCGACCTGGGGCACCGGACGGAGGGGGACAGCTTTTCTGACAAGTGCGTGGACGAAGTGGGGGACGCGGGTTGTTGCGGGAAGCCCGCGAGGGTCTGCGAGGTTGCCGTGGCTGCTCCCGGTGGTCCTGCAGGACGCTCCACCGACCCTCAGCACGCCCGCCGCGTGGCCAGTGCCTGTGGCGCCAGCAGCCGGTTGTGCTGCGGGTCCTGAGGTACCCTGGCCCCACGGAAAGGACTGGCAGCTCAGGAGGGAGAAAGGCTTATGGTTCATGGTGGCATCTCCCCGACTCTGGGAGGCCCAGGCGCGTATAGCGGGCCTGGAGAGCAAGTCCGGGCCCTGCCTTGTCCCCAGGGCGACGCTGCCCCTTCAGCTGCCTTTCCTGAGAGGTTGGTGAGGAGGGCGCGGCTCCCCCCCCCCCGCACTCCCCCCCCCCCCCCCCCCCCCCCGCCTGTACCCCAGCAGGGTGGGGGCGCGCGCCCCCCCCACACCCCCCCCCCCCGCCCCCGTGCATGTTCAAGGAAATATTTGGGGGGAAGGAAATATATTTCAGAGCAAAACCCGGGGTAAGTGCTTTGCAGCCTTGATCCGCTGCAGTCACTCTGGTTAGGCAGGAGGGCCCAGTTCCACTTGTCAGTGCCGTGCTGGAGTAGTTGGTCCTGAAACCGCACTTTGGGTGGCACAATGTGAGGCTGCTGGCCTGGCTGGGCTCCCTCAGCCTTTCAGGGACGGTGGCGCCAAGATGATGAGGTGTTTACCTCCCAGGCTGGAGACACCTGCAGATCCCAGAGCCGGCTGAGCACGGAGTCACTCCTGTCCAAGTCTCGCAGCTGTTGTTGCTGAAGTAGGAACTGTTACTGTATTTGGTCCAGAATCCCAGCCTCAGAGAAGTGATGTCCTCTCGGTAACGCAGCTGGCCAGTGTCGGTTTCAGCAGTCTGGATGCAAGCCACAGGAGACTGACTTAAGACCTGGGGACTTGTAGTCCCTTTACCCAAGATGCGAAGCCCTCAGCATGGGGCAGGCAGCTAGCAGGACCAGTGAGGCTCAGGTACTGCTATTGTTACTGACACCGTTATTACATGCTCGCTCATTCCTCGGACGTCCTAGAGCCCTTGCTGTCTGCATCTCCCAGTCCTCGCGTCATTTCCATTGTCTGTGTGACCTTCCAGGGCCTCCCACGGAGGAGGCTTCTCCCTTACACTACCGGAGCACATCCAGAGCAGGGCCCACCTGCCCCTCGAGCCCAGCACAGAGCTTGGCCCTCAGGAGGTACTGGGTGATGGGAGCCTTGATCACTCTGCATCTTTACCGGGGATGTAGGGATGAGCTCTGATCCCATCCAGCAGCCCCAAGGCCAACGCTGCTCTCTGTGTTTGACTTGGCAGGTATCTGTGACCTTCGATGATGTGGCCGTGACTTTTACCCAGGAGGAGTGGGGGCAGCTGGACCCGGCCCAGAGGACCCTGTACCAGGAGGTGATGCTGGAAAACTGTGGACTTCTGGTGTCTCTGGGTAAGTCCTCCCCACTCCACCATGGGGACACCTGCTGCCTCCTTGTCAGAGCACCCTCTGGCTCCAGGCCTGGCTGGTCAAGAAGACTTCTGGAGCCCTCCCCGTGTCCCTCCTCCCTGCAGCTTCAGCCGTTTTCTAGATTAATCTCTTTGGACCTGCTGTCCTGTGTCTGTTTGGGCAAGAAACAGTTCCTCTTTGGCTCCTAGAAAACCGTGGAAGGAAAAGGGGGTGTTCTGCAGAACCCAGAGGGAGGATTTCCAGCTGGTGCCGTGAGGCTCTGGTAGAGGAACTGGGAACCACCACGATGATGCCGTGGCTTCTGGTCTCTTGTCCTGGCTTCTCTCCCTGGCTCTCTCTGCTCATGTCTCTGTATGCAGGAAGGTTTTTTCCTGCCTCATCAAGTAGTGATGGGACTGGCCACCGGTCCCTGCTCTCTCGGCCCCCAGAGCCTCGTCTCCGCGTCTTGGCGTGCTCCTACGCTTCCTGTCTGTCTGTCTGCTGCCAGGCCGTGTGTGGTGTTCTTGAGGCAGGAACGGCCGCCGGAGCCAGTACTTCTCTGGACCTGTCAACCCGGTGCCCAGCACAGACTGGCCTCCATCCAGGGTTCTGATTTCACAGTCCGGAGGGGGAGCTGACTGCGCGAGCCTGGTGGGCTCAAGTGTCCTTAGCAGGCCTGTGAGTGATGGGGTTCTCCAAGGAGGGAGTGAGTCAGGCAGGCCCCCAGAAGCCTTTGCCTTCATCGCCGACAGATACTGTCCCAAAGGACGTGGTCCCAGTTCTGGGGCTTCTCTGTGTTTGTGCCTCCGTGATGGTCCCAAGGTTCAAGGGCCAGCATCCTCTGCCGGGCCGAGAGACGTTAGAGTAAAGCTCCTCGGCAGCTGGCAGTTGTGCCCCCAGGAGATACTTGGCGATGTTGGCGTGCCCTCTGGGTTGTCCTGCCATGGGTGTAGATGGGACTGGCATCTAGGGGTTTGAGTCCGGAGATGCCGTAACCCCCTCTGATGGATGCGACAGCGCCCACTCAGTGACGAATTGTGCCGCCTGCTGCGTCCCGAGCGCCGCGGCTGAGAAGCACCAGCTTCGATGTTTCTCTCCTTGGGGAGAATCCGCACAGGCCGTTCAGTTAGAGGGAAAGGGGGGCTATAAATCCAGAGCCGAGGATGAGACGTGCCTGTTCTTGGAGAACTGGAATTATGTCTGCCAGTGAGAAGAGAAAAAGCAAAACTAGAACAGCTGGATAGATTAAATGTTTCGTAACAAAATGTTTCAGAATAGAAGTCCACGCTCTCCTCCTGCTGACCTCACCCCTCACCTTCAGTGCTTTCCCGGA